TTTTTTTTTTTTTTTTTTTTGGTACCAGTGATTGAACTCCGGTCCTTGTGCTTATGAGGCAGGTGGTGGAACCACTGAACTAAATCCCTGGCCCCCTTGAGAGCTTTTAGACTGTTTCCCAGAAATAAATGAGGCCCAAAATCACACTAGTGCCAGCAGGATTTTTTGAGGCAGATAAACCCCAACAAAATCAATGAAAGCCTATGCTAATCTTAATTCTTAGTGCGTCACAGGAAAGGAACACAGAACACAGGCCTTGTCTTAAATTAGTCAAATGAGGTTCTCTGACTAATCTCACAAAAATAGTATATTGATATATTATGCAAAGCAGTTGACACCCATGTCTTATGACAAAGGTTAAAATGTGAGTGGTAAACCCTGAAGTGTTTTGAAAGTTGGCTACGATTGGAAAAGAGACATTTTATGGCTGCTGTACATGATATATGATACTGACCTATAATGGATCATCCAGTTAATCAGAGAAAGTGACTCAACCACCTTACATTCATTTTGGATGTGGAAAGAGAGTCAGAGAGAGAGAAATAGACGTTATATTGAACTACTTTAGATATCATTTCAGCCTGAGGAGACTGAGCTGTCCTGAACAACAGAGCTTCATACCCAAACAGACAAGGAGCCCCTTCCTGTGCCATTGGGCCCTACTTCCAGGGGAGGTACGGGCCACAAGGGGCTTATGAAAATCCCACCATCAAAGACGGCACCTCTGTTTTTACAGCCAGCAAGCTGCAAACTTTTTCTAGTGCCCTTTAGAAAATCAATGCTTCCTGGGCCCTACAAAGAATTACAGACACACTAAATCTCCGAACCACACCTACCTTGACTCCAATGAAAGACTTGCGGTGATAAAAGCAGCACAGAGCTGCTGAGAGGGTGTGGAAAACATTGCATTCCTTAGGCATCTTTCAGTCTTCAGTCCTAGGCACCACTCGCCTTCCTTGGCTTAGAAGAAAGGGGCATCGGACAGCAGAGCCTGGTCCCACAGCAGCTGGGCCGCTCCCGTTCACAACCAGCAGCTGAGGGAGTGAGTCGGCTCCTTCTCCCAGACCAGTCTGGGACTTTTCCCCTCCGCTAAAGCCAATACAATCTACTCGCTCGATTCTGGCAGGCTGGTGTCCAGCCTGCCATGCACACAGTGCCAGAAATTCTCATGTGACCGGACTTGCTTTCTGATGAAATTCTAACCCCTTTTAGAAGAGGCCTTGGGCTTTAGCTGTCCCTTAATTGGAAGGCCTGGTAGAAATCGTTACACCCCCACCCCCACCAGCCATCCCTTTCTCAGGGCTAAACTGCACCACGCAATCCACTTCTTGTAGCTTTGTCTTTTTGCTTGTCACCCTAGCACCTAGGGTTTTAAGGAAGCAGAGCAACTTGCATATATCAAAGACATTATAAGACAAGAGGCTCCTTTGAAAAGGCGGTGACCTAAAAGTGACCAGGGTGTAATTTTCCCCAGGGGGCAATCCTAGAAGTCCTAAGAAACCCAGGCCACATCCCCATTCCCATGCCTACCTCCCGAGCTGTTTATTTTTAATTATGATGTTTTTGGAAGTCAGCTTACAGCTGATAACGCTGGCACAGTCATCACTATTGGCAAAGAAATATTGCCTTTTGGTGTTTAATTAGCAAGTCTGTCAGCAAACACCCTGAGTGTCCTATGCTTTTCCCACTTACGCGTGCAGCCTGCTGGGAGGACCAGGACTACGTGTGCCCTCCTGACCCTACTGTTTGTCCTGCTAAGCACTTTAATTACCATCTTCATTCTAACTGCCTACTCTACCTAACCCACATCTGGCACACTAACCAAGCAGGCTTCCCAGACGTCCCTCTGGAGAGAGGCCTTTACCCCATCAGGAGTCTCAGATCACCTTTAGAGGAAAGTAACTGCTTTCCAGCTTTCATTCCATGTACAGTGGATTCTCAACTCTTCTGGTTGTTTCTTGTTTCATTTCATTTCATTTTAAAATCAAACCCAGCAGTTTGCCTGTGGCTCTTCTTTATCTCCCACCATTCAGGAACTAACTTTCATAAACAGAATGTGTCCTGAAGCTTCCTAAAACTTCATGCAGGCAGAAACTTGTAATGAGAAAAAAGCAGAATCTATTCAGAAAAGAACAACACCAGAGGAGGCATGAGAGGTATGAGAAATAGTCAATGGAATTACTGTCAAATCCTCAGGAGGCCTTGGCCTTCGGACTAGGTCAAGTCTGCCTATGAAGACAGGGAATTGTTTGTTCAGTGCCCAATGAATACTCCAGTGCTTGAACTGAGGGACTAGAGAGCCACAGGCCTCATACCCACTGACTGACTCAGCTGGAATACAGATATCCTAATAAAGATGGGCGTGGAGCTCTGAACGTCTGTGGCCATGGGAACAGCCAGGGGAGTGACTGCCTCTCAATTCCTTCAGCTGGCTACTTCCATCACTCCTCCTCTTTGGAGGATGGGTTTGCTGTCTCGGGAACTCTTGGGCCCTGTGAGGTCCACCTGAGAACCTAATGCAAGTGTTAGAGGTGGCAGCTTCAAATGGGTTTCTGAGCTGGATGAGGCTTTGGTGGTTGCCCAGGTGGCAGGTCACAGTGTCCTCCAAGGTCTGTGTACTGTACCTGTCAGAAGCATTTTCTGTTTGCCCTCATTTCTATCAGATGGGGCTCAAAGGCTAAGTCCTGACAGAGGGATGACTCATCACTCTGGCCAATGGCCACCAGGGAAGAGCCTGGCTATTACCTGCAAGTCCCTCTGGCAGGAAATTACAAGATCCTGTGAGCTAAAAATCCTAACAAAGGAGCTGGAAAAGCACTGTTCTAGGTCCAGGAAAAGACAAGGAAATAGCTTCTTAAATTCTGCACAGAAATTCAGTGGGATTAGCCAGCCAAGAGCCTCTGAATTCTGAAAAACCTTCCTCAGTTTAGAAATGTCTTTGCATATTGCAAATAACACAGGTGTATAAATTACATAGAATTATGTAATAAAGTCCTCCAGAGAAGAGCGAAAGCAAAACAAAAGACATTCAGGTCGCTGATACCTGAGGCTTTCCCTGTTTACCCTAAGACATGTCTCCAAAATGCCCAAAGAATTTGTTTCACAGGATTAATGAATATGCTAATCTTATTAGGTAACTTTCCTAAGCACATTTTATTTTTGTTCCACATCAAAAATAATTTCTGAAGTAACATTCAAAAGGTCTATTTTTTTTTCCAAAATGGCCAAGGAGACTAAAATAGTGTGTTATTGCAACTAAAGATGATAATTGCATGAATTTCCAAAGTGCCCTTCACTGACTTGTTATGCTTTTAAAAGTCTCTTATTCACAGTGATCAATTCCCTGACATTCTCCCCACAATGATTATTCTGTTCTAGTTTCAAAGAAACAGAGGACCAGAGTGGTGTGTCACTCTTCAGAGAACAAAGGACCAGCGACTCAGAACCTTAGATTTCAGAGCAGGGTAATGGATCACAGAGAACCACGGATAAAAGATTTTATAATTAAAGTGGTTATTCATGCAGCCACATGAATATGCTGTGACCAGCGTAAGGTACTCTGATTATTTGGGACACAGGATTTAGCAACAGTTTGGATTTGAGGTTTTCTAAACACCATGCCTTTCTGGAGGACAGAGGAGGCTGTCTCCTATGGAATCCCAGGGACTGATGAACTAGAGAGTAGACCTGAGGGCACAGAGTTCCTGGGATGCTCTCCAGTGCCCTCCCAGGGTACCTGAGAGGTTTGCTTCTTTGCACTAAGGGAAACAGCTATTAGGTGGTAAAGCCAGGGTTGAGAAGCCAGCCAGTTAGACCCGTGGAGGCAAACCCCATTATCTCAGGTCAAATGTTACCCCCTTCACACAACATCTGGAAAGAATATTAAGCAGGCCAAGGGAAGGTTTCCACACAAGCACTGTCCTCAACGCTGGTTTTTCCTGGGATAACTCTAATAAGAACCTGCCTTATTCAGTAACCATGGAAACAAGAGCTGACTGCCAGCCATATTCAACAGACACATGCTTTCTGTTGGCAGCAGCACTGGGCTCAGGGGAAGACAGAATGGGGAACCCTTTCTGAAGGAGTCCAGCCCCCATTAGATCAGGCTTGCAGGGTGGTAGATGCCTCTCTCCTAGCACAGAGGGGAAAGATACACCACAGTCACCTGCTTCTTATTGTTATGGCACCTGAGAAAGCAGGCTACCTGCAGCCCCATCCTTCCCCAACACCACCCAGGAATCAGGATATCAAGCCTTACACAGAGGCAGGCACTCTTGGCCACTGTCAAGCAGTCCCACAGACAATGACACTGCCATAGTCCGTGAGCTGGAGGGTCCTGGCTGAATGCTGCAAGGCCAAGGTCATCCCTGCCTTGGTGATGGCCTCAACATCAGTGCGGCAAACAGCAGGGCTACCGTGAGCAGAACAGAAGCCTCTCATGGCAGCCCTGCAGCTCTTCATACACTGAACTCAGATTCTCCTCTGTCTCCCTCACATTCTCTCTCAACAGATACTTCTCACACATGTACACATACACTCAACACTGTGGTTCTTCACATACTCTCAACTCAGATTCTCTCACACATATGCACTTTCAAGATTCCTCTCTCTCTCTCTCTCTCTCTCTCTCTCTCTCTCTCTGTCCCCACTGAGATTCTTCACACACATGCACAGACCAATTCTTTCTGGCTCTTTGTTCCCATTAAGCCCTCGCAATCTGGTTTTTGGTGAATAAAGTCATCTTTAATAAGGATCACTGTGAGTTGGAGACCAGCCTGGGCTACATAGTGAGTTCCAGGTCAGTCTCAACTACATAGTGAGACACTGTCTCAAAAACAAAAAAACAAAAAACAACAACAACAAAAAAGAAAATCAGCTCTGGTTCTCCTGGTGTCCGGGGAGAAGGGCAAGGTAATGAGGCCCTGCCTGGCTGGCAGCAATGTGATGTCACCATGCGGATCACCTATGTAGGCTCGGCTCCCTGAAGAGTCCTGTGGCAAGGGCCAGGAACTCCCGGGCTGGAAGAGCCAAGTTTATCAGCAACCTTTGTTTCCAAGGCTTCCTCAGATATCAGCTCTGTGTCAGCCAGATCCTGAACAAACAACACAGTACCTAACTTCACAGTCGCCTGAAAGTGAACCTATACAACCATTTTGATTTTCACTTTCGGTACAGTACTCAATAAATCATGGGAGACATTCCACACTTTCTTGTAAAATAGGCTTTGTGACTGTGCCCAATGAGTGATTGGCTGATGTAAGTGTTCTGAGCACATGTTAAGGTAGACTATGTGAAGCTATGATTTTCAGTAGGTTCAGAGTATTAAATGCATTTTCAATCTAGGATTTGTGTGTGTGTGTGTGTGTGTGTGTGTGTGTGTGTGTGTGTCCTGGAGATCAAACCCCAAGCTTCATGCATGCTAGGCACGTGCTCTACTGCTGAACTGTAATCCCCAGCCCTGACATTTTTAATCTATGATAGGTTATAGGAATGTCATCCCCTTACAGGTCAAGAGACATAGAGAAGGAGCTCATGGGCCTCTCAGACACACTGTCACAAAGAGCCACACGGCCTGAGGGAACAGAGCTGGGACCCCACTGAGGAGAAGAGGAGGACTTTGGGAAAGAGGCCGCCTCCTCCTCCAGCCGGATGGAGCTGCAGAAGCTGCCAAAGGCAGTTTGACACATTTTCCTATATGCAAATGCAATTTATTTCTGATCCAGGTGAGACTGCAGAGTGGACTTGGTGGACAGCAGGGCAAGCGGAACTGGCCTCATGAGCTCTTGGACCTTGCCGCAGACAAGATGTTCACATTCCCTGGTGAGCACAGGCAGTGACTGCATTTAGGAGTGTCCACTGCACACGTCTTGTCTGACAGTTTCCCCAGATTCCTCAAGGGGATGAAGAATATGGCTCCTAAATGGGCTCTGTCCGGAAGCAGTATCGATCTGCCCAGCACACACAGAGACTAAGTAAAGACTTCACAAAGTGATTTCGCTCTCCTGGGTCTCGTGTCCTTCCCCTCCCCCTACACATTTGTGTTTCGCCAAGTTGGTAGCTACTAAAACTGTATCACCAAATGACGTGAAGCAAAATTAGGTACACAACCCGATTTTGCTTTCTTACATTAACACATATAATTCTACCCCATATACTCCCCTCCATTATTACCAACGATTTCCTGGAATTACCTCAGAAACCCTATATTATAGAAGCTCAATTTTCCGGTTTTTAGCATTAAGGTAAAAAATAAAA